GTTCTAAAATTGGTAGGCAGACCCATTCCCTTCTCTATCCCTTAGGATGGATGCACATTCAGTGTTCCAGGCTTTCTTCCATTGTCTGCTAACATTGTTCTCCAGGAAGGTGCATGGGGTGTGAAATTCTGGTTTCTTCAGAGATCTCTAACTTTTTAAAAAAAAGATTTTATTTATTTATTTGACAGACAGAGATCACAAGTAGGCAGAGAGGCAGGCAGAGAGAGAGGAGGAAGCAGGCTCCCTGCTGAGCAGAGAGCCCAATGCGGGGCTTGATCCCAGGACCCTGACATCATGACCTGAGCTGAAGGCAGAGGCTTTAACCCACTGAGCCACCCAGGCACCCCAGAGATCTCTAATTTTTAGTGCTGATCACCAAACATCCTAGATTATGTTAATTCCTATTACCATTCATACAAAAGAAATTCCATGAGCCAGCTTTTTTTTTTTTTTAATGGGAATCTCCCGGGAAAGAGATTCTGCCTCCTTTTACCCTTGCAGAAGTAGGCCCATGTTTTTTATATGACTGTGTTTGAGTAGGAGCATGTTGAAGTTGTGAAGATTTTGGTAGCAACGCAAAACATGGACTAGAACTTTAATACAGGGGTTCTCAGAATATGGTTCCCAGAGCAGGGGCGTTATCTTCTGGGAACTTGTTAGAAATGCCAATTCTCAGTCCCACCCAAACCTACGAAATCAGAAACTTTGTGACTGGGGTCCAGTGATTTGTGTTTTAACAAGCCCACTAGGGGAGTCTGAACAGCACCCTGCTTCAGAGGGTGCTTAAATAGGAACTTGGGCTCCTGTTATGGACCTGACTTACTGTACTTTAAGGAAGGGACTTAAGACATGAGGGATGGCTGGCTAGCAGGGCTATTTGTTGACATTGCTTCATCATTAATGACATGAGAAAGGTGTACTTTTACGTTTTTCTTTGTGGGGCATTGTAATAGACAAACCTTTAACTTTTGGAGGCCCCTTCAGTTTCCTTTGTTGGTTATGACCAACAGTAGGAAATAGAATGCCATAAATCCTTGTTTCCAGGGTTACCTCTTGCTGCTGATAACAGACAGGAAATTAAAGCAATCTGTGATAGTGTTTTGTTCTTATTAGCCACAGATGGTAGCTTTCAGATACGTTGGAGCAAAACATAAATAAATATAGCAGGGAAACTTCATTATTGAAGAAAAATGATTTGGCTAGGTCAAGTTTATAGTCTGGGTCCACTTTTATGAAATGGAATATAGGCAACATTATATTGCTCCATTACCACAAAGCATTGAGACATATGAGGGTCACTAGTTTTTTTTTTTTCTTCCTTTTGATTTAATTTTCAGTATGTAAAACATTTACATGATTTCAAAGTCAACAGAGTGACAAATTATGTTTAAAGATGTCTCCCTTTTATCCATATCTCTTCTCTCCTGTTTTCTTTGTCCTTTGGGGTCATCATTTTTATTAGCTTTTTGATTTATTCTTCCAGTGTTTCTTTTTTTTTTAAGATTTTATTTATTTTCCAGTGTTTCTTTTAAAGATAAGCATGTAAATGTATTTATGTTTATATCTCCCCCTTTCCACTTTCTTTACACAAAAGGTTGCAGGTTATTCTACAGTCTTTTAAGATTATCTTAAAAAGCTCACTCCGTTAAGGGCTACCTTCAATTCAGTAAAATTCACCAACTTGGTGTGTACAATGTGAATTTTGTCGAATGCGCGCCGTTGCACAACCACCTGAAGGTATAGACTCTTTCCAGAGCCCCCAAAAAGTTTCATTCCATCCTTTTGCGGTCATTCCCATCTCCCACCCCTCTGGTCCCTGGTAAGTCGTCTGTCTGCTCTCTCTCTTTATACTTCTCTTTCCTAGAATTTCATACCTAGTTTTTTGTACGTATGTGTATGACTTCTTCCATGTTGTAGAATTCTTCAGAGATTCAGCCATATTAATACAGATATCAGTAGCTGTTCCACTTTATTGCTGGGTATTGCTCTATTGTTTTTATATTCCACTTGGTGGACATTGTCCTGTTGCTTTTTTTTTTTTTTTACTTTTTTATTATGAAATACTATTTTGAAATAATATCAGATGTCTAGAATACTTACAAAGATAGTACAGAAAGCATCCATACGCCCTTGCCCCAGCTTCCTCCCATGTTAACATCTCATATGGCTCATGGTACAGTTATCATCCCTTAAGAAATTAATATTGGCACAACACTATTAACTAAGCTACAGGCTTTCTGTGGATCTTAGTTTTTCCATTGTGTTTAGTTTTCATGTTTCTTTAGTCTCCTCTAATCCATGACACTTCTTCAAACTTCCCATGTCTTTTTATTTTTTTATTTTTATTTTTTTTAAAGATTTTATTTATTTATTTGACAGACAGAGATCACAAGTAGGCAGAGAGGCAGGCAGAGAGAGGGGAAGGGAAGCAGGCTCCCCGCTGAGCAGAGAGCCCGATGAGGGGCTCGATCCCTGGACCCTGAGATCATGATCTGAGCTGAAAACAGAGACTTTAACCCACTGAGCCCCCCAGGCGCCCCTCCATGTCTTTTTAAGAGTGCCTGTTGGGGTGCCTGGGTGGCTCAGTGGGTTAAAGCCTCTGTTTTCAGCTCAGATCATGATCCCAGGGTCCTGGCATCGAGCCCTGCATCGGGCTCTCTGCTCAGCAGGGAGCCTGCTTCCCTCTCTCTCTCTGCCTGCCTCTCTGCCTGCTTGTGATCTCTGTCTGTCAAATAAATAAATAAAATCTTAAAGAGTACTTGTTGAAGTATTTTGCAGAATGTCCCTCAATTTGTCCAGTGATTGGACAAAAATTACACACTTTGGGGAAGGACACCATAGAGGTGATGTGCATTTCTCATTGGATTATACCAGGAGCTACATGGTATCAATATGTCTTATTCCTGGTGAAGTTAACCTGGATCACTTGGATAAAGTGGTGTTTGCCATGTTTCCTCACTGCAGTTAATAGCTTTCCTTTTCTATGGTCTGTCTCTTAGAAGAAAATTATTACTTTTTAAATTCTGATGTGTGTTCGTGGGCACGGGACACATAGTTTAGTGACTCTCTCAACCTTACTTATAATAATAGTAATAACAACAGCTACCTCTCACTCCACACTTCTAAACACATATGGGCTATCTCAGTTAATCTTCGGGATACCCCTGAAAAATGTAGGCACTATTTTCATGTCCAATTTACAGCTTAGAAGATTGAGGCATAAATACTTTGCTGAGGGTCCAGCAGCTGGTTAGTGATGGACCCAGATGTTAACTTAGCCTAACTCGAGGACCAGATTTTAACAAGGGCCATATGGTTTTTGTCAGAGCTTAGAAATGGGGATGCCCTCGTTCTCTGCCAGAGAAAACAAATAAATGCTGCTTTTTGATAATTCTCTTTTGTTCTTTAAGAAAAGAACTTTGTTTTCCTTTCAGGATCTTTTCTTAGGTGACTAAAGATTTTAATAAGCTATGCATGACAGTAATCTTACTTTAAAATCTTAGAGAAATCCAGGATACTTCAGGGAGCACTCGGGGACTTCTTTCAGAATTATGACTGAAGTTTAGGGCAGAGTATTCAGTATAGAAAGCTGATTGTGGAGAAGTATTGACTTCAAGAATGAGCTTTTTGGGATGCCTGGGTGGCTCAGTTGGATAAGCCTCTGCCTTCGGCTGAGGTCATGATCCCAGGGTCCTGGGATCGAGTCCCGCATTGGGCTCCTTGCTCAGTGGGGAGCCTGCTTTTCTCTTGGCCTCTGCCTGCCGCTCTGCCTGCTTGTACTCTCTCTCTCTCTCTCTCTGACAAATAAATAAATAAATAAATAAATAAATAAATAAATAAAATCTTAAAAAAAAAAAATGAATGAACTTTTCTTCCCTGGATTTTATCAGCCTCTGCTACCAGGAGTGCAGTGTTTGTCTGTGGCTATCTAAACCCTGCATGTTCACTTTTGTTGACCGCACTAATGACTTTTCCACTACACAATCACATGTATCTCGGAATAGCCTGACTCAGGGGATGATAACGGTAGTTAAACGATGACTCAATATCTGTGAGCCTCTATTCTAGTAGCAGCGGAGCTGCTGAAGGTCAGGCTGTGTGGGTGGACGTTTGCACTTCTTCCCTGTGACTCACTCCGCAGCCTGCCTTTCTGAGGGAAGTAATGGTAGGTCACTGCACACTGCTGCGCGTCGCCTCCCTGCTCCGTCTCGTCGTACTGTGTAGATGGGTATCCCCAAATCCTTGAAATCACACAGCTTGGAGTCTTGAATGTGTGTAGGCTGCCAAGATGTCCAGATGCCAGTGTGCTTTTTAAAAATAAAGCTTTTTTGTTTCTAAATGTCTGTCATATGCCTGGCCATATGTGCCAGGGTCCAGAGGTCAAAAGCCAGTCTGGACAGGCTATACATAAAAATTGTAGCATTTATTTCCTTAGGGAAGAAGGCAACTGTTTAAGTCTGATGCTTGCATACAATAACTAGAAAATTCTGTAAGAGTAGATGATTATTTAGGGGATAGATAACATATCAAGTTTATGGGTATCTAGATCTGGCTTAGAGTCAGATGGCTGAGGACCTCTAGCCTCAGAAGTCAGATATGGTTTTCTACACATCTATTATAGAGAAAGTGTTAGGTACAAGAAAATGTAAGGAAGAAAGTGAAAGCAGCTCATTTCCATCACCAGAAATAGCCACTCTTTTGTTTTGCATAATTTCTCCCTTTCTCCTTCTGTCATGCAGCAAACACATTTGTTTGTAATCCTGCATTTGTTATGTAATACTATATCCTAAGGATTTTTCTCATCATTTAAAAAAAAGACTTTGCTAATTTGGTGGGAGAAAAATAACTAGTTTTAATTTGTATTCCCTTAATATTTTAGTTAGGATTAATGTTGTGTCTTTGTTGACTGTCTATATTTATCCATGGAGATTGTTACTTTTTCTACTCCATATCTTTCTGTAAAACCAGAAATGTTACTAACGCAAAACTCTTGATTTCAGATGTCCTAAATGATGCTATATTTGATGAAGATCACGATGAGATGGTGATTGTGAAGGACATAGATATGTTTTCCATGTGCGAGCATCATCTAGTTCCATTTGTTGGAAAGGTAAGGTTGTCTCTGTTTCCTAGTAATTTTAAAAAGCACAATTAAAGTTTTAAAATTAGGATTATTATATTTAAAATCATTACCTGCTAATTCTTAATATCCCAGATATGTAGAGTTACACAAAAACATTTACTCTTTATCAACTTGACTAATCAAATAGTTTGAAGCTAACCAAATAAGGGGCACCTGTGTGGCTCATTTGGTTAAGCACCTGCCTTTGGCTCAGGTCACGACCCCGGCATCCTGGGATCAAGCCCCATATCGGGGAGCCTGTTTCTTCCTCTCCCTCTGCCTGCCACTCCTGCTTGTGCTCGGTCAAATAAATAAATAAAATCTTGGAGGGAAAAAAAAACTAACAAAACAAAAACAAAGTAGCAGAAAGTCCTCAGGACAAACATTTCATAGTAAATACCATGTTAATAGGTTAAAATAATGAGATTAAAGTTTCATTTTTTTTTTCTAGGTAGTTGCTACAGGCTCTGAAAACCTTTGCTCTTTATTTTGACTAAATAGTGTTTGATCCAAGATTTACTTTGGTATAATATGGCATGAGCAGCAATGATTGCAGAATTTCTTGTGGTAGAGGTCATAGTATTAGTGGATTTAATTTTTCAACCTTGTCTGTATTAGGAAAAATGAATCTAATGTAAACTAGATAATGTTATCTAGCTTGTTTTACTTAAACATCTCTTTGAAAACATGTGGATTTAAGACCAAGAGTAGTGCTGTCCTTACCCCCATTATAATTTTATTTTATTTTGACTTTTTATTAATAGTTTTTAAACAGAAGACTTACAGGAAATAGTGTTATGAGTACGTATATACCCATCACCTAAATTTAATATGTTAACATTTGTGTCACTTTTTTTGTTAAAAGTATTTTATTTTCTCACTTTAGTAAAGTGAAACATAGAAAAATGCACAAATTATAAAGGTATTCCTTACTTCTTCACAGGTGGAGAACTAGAATATTATTACTATCCTACAGGGTCATTTTGTGCCCTTTTTAGTCCCTAACCCATCCCTGTTCCCATGGGTAACCCGTATATCAATTTCAAACACTATAGTGTTTTGCTTGTTTTTCAACTCGTAAATGGTAAGAATCTATAGCATGAAATCTTTTGTGTCTGGCTTCTTTTGGTTGTTGTTGTTCCACATTGTAAAAGTCACTGATATTATTACCTGTCATTGTAGCTTATTTTCATTGCTATATATTATTTCATTGTACAAACATATCACAGTTTATTCTGTTCTTGGTAGATATTTACATTGTCCCCTTTCTCTCTCTCTCTGTCTCTCTCTCTCCTATTACAAACAATACTGATATCAGTATTCTTTGAGTGCATATGTGCATGCATTTCTGTTAGGAATATACCTAGGAGTAGACTGACAGGGTCATGGATATATGCATATCCAATTTAATAAATACTGATCTTGAGTTTTCCAAAGTAGTTGTACCACTTTAGACTTCATGCACTCTAAGGTGAGTTTCAGTCACTTGACATCCTTGCCAACACTTGGCACTCTCAGTCTTTTTCAGTTTAATATTTTCATACGGATGTAGTGGTATCTCTCTTTTTTAAACCTCTTATAACAGAAAAGTTCAAACATATGTAAGAATGGAAAGACTAGTATGATAAAGTTCCATGTTTCCTAAAACCAACTTCAATAGTTATTGATAAAGGGCCAGTCTTGTTATATATAAGTTCCACTGGACTATTTTGGAGAAAATCCTAGATATGATATTACTTTTTTCCATATCTTCTTCTAGTATGTGTCTGTAAAAGATAAGGATTTTTAAGGAAATGTAACTCTGATCTATCAGTCTGAAAAGTTAGCAGTAAATTTTTCAGCGTATAACAGAATATAAAGTATGTTGTAGACAGCATGACTCCTCATCACTAATTATTAATACTCATTTCTTTTTTTTTTAGGATTTTTTTATTTATTTGACAGAGATCACAAGTAGGCAGAGAGGCAGGCAGAGAGAGAGGAAGGGAAGCAGGCTCCCTGCTGAGCAGAGAGCCCGATGTGGGGCTCAATCCCAGGACCCTGGGATCATGACCTGAGCCGAAGGCAGAGGCTTCAACCCACTTTAACCCACTGAGCCACCCAGGCGCCCCCACATTTCTTTTTTTTTTATTATTAATACACATTTCTAAAATATTTTCTTATCCACAGTAGCACTACCATAAATAAAAGTAATTCCTAAATAGCATCTAGTCACTAACCCTTATATTTACCTTTCTACAGTTGTCGCAACTGTCTTACTGTTGGTTTGTTTAAACCAGAATCCAAGGGCACCTGGCTGGTTCAGCTCATTAGAGCATGTGACTCTTGATCTCAGGGTTGTAAGTTTCAGCCCCATGTTGAGTGTAGAAATTACTTAAAAAAAAAATAAATAAACCAGAATCCAAATAAGAGTCACACATTTGTATTGCTTTGGGTTGTTACGCTTCTTAAGTCTCTTATTCTAAAATAGTTCCCCTCTTCCACATCCACATTCCCTTACTGAAGGGACAGGACTGGTTGTCTTGTAGAGTGTCCTTCTGGATTTGTTCCATTCAACCTCTGGATTTCCTATAAACTAGACTAGATCCAAAACTTCCTAAGATTAAGACTAAACATTTTTGATAAGAGTAGTTCATGGGGTTGCTGAAGGCTCTGTATTTCATCTCATCAAGAGGTATGCACTGATTGGCAATCCCACAATTAATCATGCCGGCCATGTGACATCAGGGCTTAGGTTTTTCAGGGAGGGCACCTTTGAGCTTATCTTATTACCTTTTATTGTAAATGGGGAATTTAGGCCCAGAAAGCCTATGACTTGTCCAAGAGGACAGAGGGAGTTAGTGATTTGGTTGGGGCTAGACCTAGTACTTGGTCTGTGCTCAGTCTCTCACCACTATATCCTGTTACCTTCTGCTATGATTATCTCTGTGTTTGTGTTCTTGTTAACTTTTAAAAGAATATATTATTCAGTGAGGATTTTCTATAATCGACATTTAAGTGACTTAGGATCTTCAGAAAGATAAAAAATAGTACAAGCAATAAAGGATGGCTTTGCATAGAAGTATAAAAATTTCAAGTTAGTACAGAAGCTCTAAGTTCTGTGGGAAGGTTTTAACTCTTTTTTCTTTGAAATACCTGGTGTTCAGGTGCTACTTTATTTTCCCTTTCTGCTGACCAGGAAGGTGATGAATTACTATTCTCAAACTCTCAAAGCAAAGTGCTAATAGATGAAAAGTTACTAATAACTACTAGATCGATTATTCACATAATAAATATTAGCTGAAGAAATGCAACAAATGCTGGCAAACCATGATGCAAATGAATCTGTGATTTTATATTAGGCTAATTGATAGCCTACAAATGACCATTTACTTTACTAGGTTTTTTAGAACGAATGATTTCTTATAATTGATACATGGCTCAAAGAGAGGTAACATGGACGTAGGAGATACTAGTTAGTGACATTTAAGATTACAGAATTGGCTTGGCGTTAGGTCTTAAGGTCCAGGTCTTGATGAGTCACATTTGTATCTGTGTCCTTTATCTCCCATCAGGAAGATAGTGTTCTTCAGCAGCTTGGAAATGAGGCCACCAAGCATGACAGAGAGCATGGAGACCCTCTTTCTGTGCAACAGGGTGGGATTTTTAAGGTGGAATGGCAATATTTATAGTTACAGTTTCAGCCATTTAAAGGAAGCTTTCCTGGGGTTCCTGAGTGGCTCAGTCAGTGAGAGACCAACTCTTGATTTTGGCTCAGGTCATGATCTCAGGGTTGTGGAATCGAGCCCTGTGTCTGGCTCCGTGCTCACCACGGAGTCTGCTGGAGATTCTCTCTCTTCCTCTTCCTCTGCCCCTCCCCCTGCTCATACTCTCTCTCTCTCTCTCAAAATAAATAAAATCTTTAAAAAAAAATAAAGGATGCTTTCCTGGCTATATTTTAATGTTGTTACAGGATACTAGAGTGTGTCCCCTCAATGGAAGAAGGACTTGAAGAACTATATGAAGAGTTTAACTTCACCAGGAAATACCATGACTGTATTTCCAATTTGCTATTTCATTAATATTCATGTATATTTTTCTTTTAGTGCATATATGTAATTTTCTAAATGCTTTTTTGTAAGTTCTTCATTTTCTAAGTCAATATAGCTATCTTAAGGATACATTTTCATTGTGTTGAATTACATAGTGCATATACTGTATTATGTTTCCTTATTTCCTTATTTTGTTACAAAGAAGCATTGGATTTTCAGTCAGGATTTCTCTCTTCTTTGAAGGTCCATATTGGTTATCTTCCCAACAAGCAAGTTCTTGGCCTCAGCAAACTTGCGAGGTAAGTGTGACTGTGTGGTGAACAGGAAAACAGATTTGTAGGACCTGTCCCTATATGGCAAGAATCTCATAAGGCTTTCCTGACTGGTGTGGCTCTAACCTGGAAGTCACATTGCTACTTAAAATTTATGGTTGCAGAGACAAACATATTTGGAGGACCTGAAACACAAATCCCTTTTCTTTTCAGCCCTCCCTGCCTTCCTCCCCCACCTCCCACCCCTCTTCCACCAACACATCCTTAAAAAGTCTTAGCTCATACCTTTCTCTGCAGGACCTTTCTTGACTGGAAAGGATCCAAGGGTACTTTCAGTCCAGCCCCCATATTTAAGGGTGGTTTAGCTAGCGGGTGGGAAAAGGAAATCTGTGCAGGGATCTAATTGCACTACCCTGTTTTCAGACTTTAAACAGACTACTACTGGGGTCTCAATCCTGTCTTCCACTGCATCTGGGTGTCTCCAGGCATCTCTTGGGAGGTCCTGCAGGGCCATTCATTCACTTCTGGTTTCTTTACCTCTGCAGACACACGACTGTGCTGTGCCTTTCTTGGCTTTCTCAGCAATATTCCAAAACAATACTTACTCTCCTATTTCTTTCTTTTCTACTACAGTCTCCTTTTCCATTCTTTATCCTGTGGGTTCATGCCTTTTAACAACTTCCTTTGCTCCTATTTTTATTTCAGCCTTAGGAAGGAGAAGTAATGGATAAGTACGGTCCTCTGTGTTTAAGTGGAGATCAGCTTGAGGATCAGTGTTCGTATATCTCTGCTAGGTTCAGTCACCAATTCTTTATTGCCCCTAAATGTTCTTTTTTGTAATTTTTTTGTATGGAGTTAGTGAGTCCTAGGTATGGGCAAATGTTGGGAGGTGTGTGTGTATATGTGGAGAGAGTTAAGAACAAAATGAGTGAGAGGTGCCTGGGTGGCTCATTTGGTTAAGTGTCTACCTTCAGCTCAGGTCCTGATCCCAGGGTCCTAAGATCAAGCCCCACCTCAGGCTCCCTGCTCAGCGGGGAGCCTACTTCTCACTCTCGATCCCTCTGCTTGTGCTCTGTCTCTCACGTGCACTCTCACTCACTTTCTCTCTCAAATCAATAAATAAAATATTAAAGAAAAATAAAATGTTAAAGAAAAAAGAACAAAATGAGGGAACAGGTGATGAAAATATAGTCAAGTGCCCCTTGCCCCTTAAAATAAACCAAGCAAGGTGTGGATAATTTGAGGGTGTAGTGACTGTATCAAAATTGGAATAAATGAGTCTTGGTGACTGGCTAACTATCCTATGGCTCTGATGGGTTCCTGCTTCTTCACTTAGACATTAGGGTTCACTACAGTCCTGAAATGGTGGTTCAGATCTTTTTCAGTTTTGTGTTGGAATCTGTAAAAACCACCCTGCCAATCTGACAGCTGCTCTCCACAGCTTTTCTTTTTACTTTGTTTTTACTTCCGCTTTCTCACTCATTTCCTCTATGAATTAAAGAGAGAGTAGGTAGAAGAGAGCCATTTAAGTTCCCTAGTTTCTGACCTCATGCCTGCTCAGTACTTTCTCCATCAGACAGGGCTACTTGGTACCATGAAAAGATGTTTTTATATCATGGCTGTAATTGCTGCACTGAAGAAAGGCTCTTTACACAAATACAGAAACATCTTGCCGCTTTTCAGTGATCTGTACCCAGTAGCAGCGCCAAGGGGTGGCTGAAAAAGGGTATTGGTGGTGATGGGGGGAAATAATCCCACTCTAATTTCTATTAGCAACCCCCTCCCTAGCAACGTACTCCTAAATAATAAATAAAGTCATGTCAACAGTGAATGGAAGCGTCTTTACTAAAATTGGTTATTCTTACTGTTTTATAAGACACAGTCTAAGTGAAGTCAGTGTGGTTGCTGTGTAAACCTAGCTCCAGGCCCAGCCCCAGCCCCATGGCATGCTTCTTTCCTGCAAGATTGCTAACCCTCTGCCTTTCCTATGTAGATATTCTGGCACTGCTGATGCTTTTAACACACTGTCCATATGAGAGAGTAGGTTGTGGATAGTTTCCAGGTTATAAGGAAGCTTGCCTTCCTTAAGGACTTCCTTAAGGCCTTCCATAAGGCCTTGGTCTTAATATAAGTAGCCTTCTCTACAAGACCACGCTGTGTAGACCATGGGTAATACTTTATGGAATTGGATTCTTGAGTAATCCAGTGAGACCTTGGAATAAATGGTAATTTAGAGGTAGAAAGGAATAATCTTTGGTTACTTCCTTTCCTAGGGAAATGGAAAGATCTCCAATAATTAAGCTTTTATGAAACAATACAAAGGAGTTGATTATTAGCATAGGGATTTGTCCTTATGCCAATGGGATTAAAACTTAAAAAAAGGAACACTAAACCAAAGAACAGAGTGTATGTTACTTTCAGATATTTGTAAAAAAAAAATTGAAGGGTCTATTAAACAGGAAAGAAGGCTAAGATTTTATCCAACTGCTTATTTCTTATAAGAAGTAGGAATATTTAGGAAATGAAGAGTAATAAAGAAAGCTGGATGTCTTAGCAAAACTTCACTGCTCATTTTAATCTTGTATGTGAAGTCTGTTATATGCTTGCCTTTAAACGAATGACCTTTCAGTGCCAGGGAAGTCAAATATCAAACAGTAAAGCCTTAAGTAACAAAAAAATGCCAGAAGTGAGTTGATCTGGTTTAACTCTAGTAGAAGTCCAGAGTAAATGCAGTTTGAATAGAAATTGCTTTTGTTGGGGTCCCTGGCTGGCTCAGTTGGAGCCAGTATTGATCTCAGTATCATGAGTTCGATCGATCCCTGTGTTGGATATAGAGATTACTTAAAAAAATCTTTTAAAAAATAAAATAAAATCTTATTTTTAAGAAAAAAGTCCTTTTGTTACTGAAAATCCATTGAATATATCTTCCTTTTCTTGCCTTAGAATAACTGAGTGAACATAATTAAATCTTGAATATAGAACTGAAGTGCCTCAGGGTAGCCATGGTTTATCTACCAGTTGAGCATCTACTGTAAAAGGATATTGCGTCAGCTACGATGACTGCTAGAGAGGACACAGCCACTGTCTTCAAGGAGGGTGGACAGTACGAGGCAGCGGGTACCACTGAGATTCCTGGTTTGGAGCTTCAAGTTCAGAGGAGCTAAGAGGACTGTGGTGTGCCAGGGTTGAAGAGACGGAGAGGTGGAAGACCGCAGAATTCTAAATGGAAGAGAAATTCCTTTAGGTTAATACATAATAAGCAAAAGCAAACAAGAGGGTAGGCACAAGGCATATTCCAGTGAATGGGGAGCTGATTAATTGATAGAACTAAGAGATTTAGGCAGGGATGAATGTAAGATAGTTGGAAAGATAGGGTGGGTATTAGATTACAAGAACATTCTTTTTTCCTCTTTTATTATAAATGTAACATACTTACCAATTAAGCTTAAATACGAATGAGTGAGTAAAGGGAAAGCCTTCCTTTCTATTTCCATTCCCCATAGTTAAAACTAGAGATTTCTTGTTTCTTGACTGGAGATTGTCCTTCTGGAAAATTTCTTTGCAAGCACAAACGTGGAGCTTTTTAAAATTAGCAAAACTAAACAGCAAAACAGGGAGCTCATACCCACATTCTGTACTTCAGCCTTATGTTTTTTGTTTTTTAATTTTTAATTTTTTAAAAATAATTCCATCATGGGGCTCAGACTCACCTCCCAAGATCAAGAGTCACATGCCAGGGGCACCTGGGTGGCTCAGTGGGTTAAAGCCTCTGCCTTTGGCTCGGGTCATGATCCCAGGGCCCTGGGATCGAGCCCCGCATGGGGCTCTCTGCTTAGCGGGGAGCCTGCTTCCTCCTCTCTCTCTCTCTGCCTGCCTCTCTGCCTACTTGTGATCTCTGTCTGTCCAATAAATAAAATAAAATCTTTAAAAAAAAAAAAGAGTCACATGCCAGGTGCCCCTAGTTTGTTTTTTTAATTAAAAAACTTTGAAATCCCTTGGAGATCTTTTAGTCCCAAAAGTCTGAGTCCATTTTAATGACCACATATATCTCTTTAATTGTTCAATATAATTCATTTAACCAGTCTTTGATAGAAGTATACTTTATACTTTGAGACTATTGTCAGAAAAGGTGAAAATACTTTCATGAACATGTTTTGCATATTGTAAATTATGGAAATTAAATTGCTGGGTTCAGGGTAGCTGAATTTTTGATGTTGTCAAATTGCTCTACAAAGAAAAGCATATCCGTTTATATGGTCAACTGGTGTTTGTTTCTCCACTTCTGCCAACACTGGGTTTCATCACACTTTTCAGTCTTCGCTAAACTGATAAGTGGAAAGGGGTACCTAGTGTTTTAATGCACATTTTTAAAACTTGCATTTCTTTAATAGAATTTGAATCTTTATAGAAGCTTCCTGCTTTTAATTAACCTTTGCTAATTTTCCCATTGTACTGCTTGTCTTTTTATTACTGATTTGTATGAGGTCTTTGAATGTTAAACCAGTTAGGCAGGTGCTGCAAATAATTTTTCCAGGCTTGTCATTTGTCTTCTGGTTTTGTTTTAAAATACCATTTTTCCACAAAGAAGTTTTAAAACTTTTATGTAGTCATAAACTCATGTTTTTGGTTTATTTTTATGGCCTCATTTTTATATTTAAATCTTCATTCCATCTGGAATGCATTTGATGCAAGGAGTGGGGAGGAATCCATCCCTTGCCATTGTATCCTCACTGACCTCCTGCAGCACCCCCATTTCCTTCCTGTTACCATGCTGCCTTCTCACTATCCTTGTAGCCACTCTCTGTTGGGCCTTACTTATGTTCTTTCTGGATTATAAAACTCTTGAACTCCTCTTTGACTCTAATCTCTCAGTGTCTTTAAACCTGCTCTCGTACATTGCTAGGATGTACTTTCCAAAGTGTGGATTTGATGATGCTGCTCCTTTGTAGCTCCCCATACCTTTTAAGATAAAGTTCAAACTCCTTACTTTAGCCGACAAGTCCCACTGTGATCCACCTTTACCTCCT